CAGCTTCCTGAAGGGAGGTTCCAAAGAGGATGGAGAGAGGCTGTTCTCAGTGGGGACGGATGACAGAACAAGGAGCAATGGTCTCAAGTTGTGGTGGGAAAGGTCCAGGTTGGATATTAGGAAAAACTATTTCACTAGGAGGGTGGTGAAGCACTGGAATGGGTTACCTAGGGAACTAGTGGAGTTTCTATCCCTAGAGGTGTTTAAGTCTCGGCTTGACAAAGCCCTGGCCGGGTTGATTGAGATGGGATTGGTCCTGCCTAGAGCAGGGGGCAGGACTTGATGACCTTCTGAGGTCTTTTCCAGCTCTGTGATTCTATGAGTTCAAAAAGTCAGGCTTCTGGAACTGACCGTGCTCCATTCTCAAATAGGCAATTCTGTTCTAAGTTGGTATGAGCCATAAGATTGTACATGAGTTGCTGCATGCTGTATCCTCTGTCCCTCGTCCCACTGTGCGTATGGGATGACTGGCTACCTGGTGCATTGGAGACAGAAGAATGGAGTGGCCATCAGATAATTTTTGGTCACTGGTAGAGCCTCAGTGATGTGGCATTGGGGGCGGTGGCGGAGGTGCTCCGACCACATCATGGCTTTTGCTTCTTGCAGATTTTTATTTCCAAGATACCAAGAAATACCAGGAGAACTTCACACACTCTCCATATGTTCACGTTGCTGGGTTCATGAAATTGATAGTGTTGATCCACTACCAGGATATAAATAATCAAACTAACTGGGTGGATTTAAATCCACGAGCAATAAACCTTGCTTTAAATAATCAATTTTAATTACATTTTGCATTTGTAATTAATTTTCTAAAGAAAGACGATTCTTGCCAGGGATAACCATCTAAACATGATGAATTGCAACTAAGTATAGCCTTCTGCTAAATTTGGTGCTGCTTTTTTGGAAACCAGAGACAGGTTATGTATACACTTTTATTTCAGCATTTATGTAGCTTAATTCCTTTATTTAGAGCCTTAATTTTTACATTTTATTATGCTAGAAAACAGCAAATAATTTTTTTACTTGTGTATCATGTTAAGTTCTATTTGGATGGAAATTCAAGCACAAGTTAAAAAGCAGTATTATGCAGTGATTTTTAATTAAATAAAACTACCTTGAATGTCCCAGATACATAGGCAAAAAGTTGATCAAAAAATTATCAAAACACGTTTTGCATTTAAAACTGATGTATTAATTAGAGGACTTTGCTACCATTAGCGAATCAGTGATGGTTTCTTGTCCCCAAGTCCTTCCAGGTTTTAGAACTAGTAGACTTCGTAGGTTGGAAGAAGAAAAACAAGCTGCTCTGCGTTTTTTCAGCTTCCTCTTGAAGCTTTGAATGAACAAATCGTTGAACTGAAATGAAAATATTCCCCTTAATCTGCCAGCAAGGCTTCTGCTCTCAAGCTGATTTAGCGTGTCAGATTTAAGAAAATCTGGATCCAGATGCTTTGCTAGTGGCTTCCACCAGTTCTGGGGCTTGATTTGTTTTTAGAATCCTAGAACACTAGGACCAGAAGGGACCTTAAGAGGTCATCAAGTCCAGTCCCCTGCCCTCATGGCAGGACCAAGCACTGTCTAGAGTAGACCATCCCTGACAGGTGTCTGTCCAACCCGCTCTTAAATATCGCCAGAGATGGAGATTCCACAATATAGCAGTTGTATAACTTGATACATATTTATTCAGTCTTAATTTTTACTGTTAGAAAACCGTGAATAATGCATTTCTTATTCCTAGATAGACTTTTTTTACTCATGATGCGGCAAACTGCATTTGGATGGAAATTAATATTTCTGTGCATTGTAACTCAATTTCAAAGTATATTATGTAAATAAAATTATCCTAAATAATGCTGGGATATACAAGGTAAAAAGTGAGTTTATGAAAATGTTTTGCCATTAAAGCTGATTCATTAAGCAAGGCAAGTATTATTAATAATTACTGACATTGTTTATGGTGACCATGTCATTAAGGATTTTAGAGCTAGTTGAACTCCTCTTCTCGCCTCATTTTTATTCATAGATAGTAACAGGGAAACAAGCTTTCATGCTTCTTCAGTTGGCTTTTCAACTTTGAACGAACTCTTAATTGAACTGAACTAGTTGAATGAATTAAGATGAGTCAGATGAGGCTGTTGCTCTCACTAGCTTGTTTGTTGCTTCAACAGAGTCTGATTCTAGGTGCTTAGCCAGTGACTTGCAGTGAACTGATGGAAGTTTCTTTAAAACTTGAGCAACAAAATGTACTGCTTGAATATTTTTACTTGCATTACCTTGCGGTAGCTTATTAAGCTTAGGCCTTAACACAGGTCATCTCCATTTTAATTTTAAATACATTTTCTTTTTAAGAATTAAAACATTTTATTAAATAGGTTTAAAATTAAAACTTCATTGGTTTTTTATCTACCCCAGGCCTTAGTCTTTCAAATAAAATTGTACGAGCAGAGTCCTGATGATACCCACCATTCTCTTTGTGGGTGTGATGGGGTGGGGTCACAGGCAATCCCTTGAGGGCGCCTCCTGGGATGCTGACACTGCCACTCGCCTTCCTACTTTCTGGGGCTCCTCACTGCCCGGCCCTGCTGGGCCAGCTCCCTGGTCTTCCCAGTCAAAGCAGCGAGCTGAGATCACTGTCCCCGTCTCCCCCCCCGCTCCCCGAGAAGCAGTACAGACACTGAGTCTCTTCAGGTCCAAGGAGAGTGCAGATTTGGGCCCCTGAGATACCACTCCCCGAAGGGGATCAAATCCCCCAGGTGAATTACTTAGGAGAGCCCCCTTTAACAATGAACGGGAATGTGAGCACTGGTCGCTCCCCCAGGGAACAGTTACTTACACTGGGCTTGATAGTAAGGAAAAGTGATTTTATTACGTACAGGCAGTCCCCGACTTACGCGGATCCGACTTATGTCGGATCCGTGCTTACGAACGGGGCTTTTCTTGCCCCGCAGCTCACGGGCGGCAGGTTGCCGCCCGTGTCCTCCGGGGCGAGGAAAAGCTTGCAAAGCCGCTGGACCCCCCCCAGCAGACCAGTGACACCTGAGCAAAGCCGCCGCCTAGGCGGCTTTGCTCGTTTGCCCGAGAGCAAAGCCGCCCAGGCAGCGGGACTCCTGCCGCCTGTGCGGCTTTGCTCAGGTCTCCCTGGTGTGCTGGGGGGGACTCCCCTCAGCACCCCAGGGAGACAGGCTTTTGTTGACAAATTCGGCACCCCAGGGAGACAGGCTTTTGTTGCGGGACGCCTCGGGTAGAGCAGCTGGGGTGCTGCTGGGTTGGTCCTGTGGGAACCTACCGGGCAGCGCCCCAGCTGTTCTGTCCCAGGCTCCAGATTCAGCAGCTGTTGAAACTGATCAGGCTGATTCCAGGAAGCTGGGGGCAGAGCAACTCTGCCTCCGGCTTCCTGTAGTCAGCCCCTGGTCAGTTTCAGTGGCAGCAGCTGAATCTGGAGCCAGTTCTGACTTACATACAAATTCAACTTAAGAACAAACCTATAGTCCCTATCTTGTACGTAACCCGGGGACTGCCTGTACAAGCAGTCGGACTGGCGTGCTAAAAAGTGAGAACAGGCAGAGCCAAGTAGATTACCAATCAAAAGTAATAAAAAAGGCTTAGCTAATTCTAACCCTAAAATCCTCAGCGCACACGTATTATAAACTCACCCTCCAACTGTTTCTGTCCCAGCTGCACCTTCAAGCCAGGGAAACTTCAAGCCAGGGAAACTTCCACTTCCCCTGGCATCTCTGCTTCATCCTCCTTAGGCGTGTCCATCCAGCGAAAGCCTCCTTCCGTCCTGTTTTTAAAGAATTCCCTTATTGCGTAGGGGAGTCACCTGGCCACTCCCCACAACCACTGCTAAGACTTCAGAACAAGAGGCTATTTGCATATGACTGCCCAGCCACTGGTGCATCCCAGCCTTGGAATTACCCTTGATGGCTTTCCATATATACATTTAAAAATCATAAAAGTGTTCCCGACTCCATGTCTAATTTTGCACACCGGAGTGATACACCAAAATAAGATAAACAGATCCAGTGGATTGACATGAAAATTGACAGGTTACAAGAGAGAATTTGCTCAAAGCACCTTTGAGTTATGTGCATTTTTGTCCATAAGTCCATTTCATAAAGCATGGGTGGAGGGTGAACTGTCACAGTGGGCTTAGCTCCTGCAAGCAATTTGGACAAGACTTGTAGCCTTTTGTGTGAATTATCAGGGCTCACCAAACTGTGGCGAGCCCTGCTCACCAGCCGCGCTGTCCGGCGATCTGTGCATGCGCAGATCACCCGAACCCGGCTCTTCCGGGTTGCAATCTACTCGCCCGTGGCAAGTAGATTGTATTATTTGTCGAGCCCTGTGAATTATGTACTACTTGGGTGCTTTATGTGCAGTCAATAGCAGTCACTTGAAAAGCTGGTATCCTATTCCCAGATAAAGAACGTGTGTCAGCAGTCCTTTCGGGAAATCTTTTGTGTAGCGTAGTGGGATTCTAATGCAGTAGGTGGAACGCAAGCTGTGTCTTTATCCGTGTGTCTGGGTGGGACATGTCTAAAGCAATGTGACTTACGTAGGTCTTTTTGACTGCCTAATGCTTTCGTCATCTTGTACATGTTTAAAGTTTGCTCAATATCAGTTTGCAGTAGATGCTGGAGAAGATGGATGAGAAGGAGGATTAGAAAAGCAGATATACCTATTTTTATTTTCCCTTTTTAAGCACCCCACTATGTATACAGAAGATAAACAAAAGGTAAGACAGGCTAAGCAGGTACGGCATTGAATGTAAACCCAAAGGAATCAATTGCGAAAGAGTTTTTTCTTCTGCTCCTGTGAGGATAGCACGCTTATATGCCTTTTAAGGAGGTCTTAACTTCACAGAGAATCCGAACATCTCTCTGAAATGTTCCTATACAAATAACATCACTGGTGGTGTTTGTTTTTAATTTCACTACTGCTGCACTCAATCAAATGATCATATTACATTCCAGGACTCTTTCTTTTTTTAACAGCCACAGTGGAATGTTACAACCCAAGAATGAATGAATGGAGTTATGTTGCAAAAATGAACGAACCCCACTATGGTCATGCTGGAACGGTGTATGGGGGATTAATGTATATTTCAGGTAAATAGTTCTTCTAAGTTGACAAAGAAAATCCACCGCATATAATGCATATGGACTATGTCTTTTTGTTCTTACTCCAGAGGGTGAGGAAGATGAAAAGAATTGTTCTTGCTTTAGATATAAAACATCTGTTTCAAGCAGTGACTCATCACTTCATACAAAGTTAGTCAAATAACATATACTTGCTAAATCGCTGAAAGAACCATTTTAGATAAAAATACCACTGTTGATAGATACTTACTTTGCAAATCTGAGATGGTTAGTACTCTCTACTGCGTTTTAACTCCTGAGTCCTGCATTTTCTGAACACAAACATCTATGTAGCTTGGTCATGCGGAAGTTGTCATTTTGACCTCCGATAAATAGTTACCTAAGGATTGGAAAGGTTAGCTAATGCTCCAGATACAGAGATAAGTTTATCTACTTGTATAAGACAAAGTTGGAAGGATTTGAAGGCTAACCGCAGTGTGAGTGTGGTGGCTTCGCTATTTCTGTATTGCTGTAACTTTGGTTCTGAGCCTCTGAAAGGCAAATAATGCGATGAATGCTGTTCAAGCCAGGAGCCATAGTTATCCTGAGAGAGCAAGTTCTCCAGTCTCCCAGAGAAGTGTTCTCCTTTGAAGGGAATTCCATGACCAGTCAATACATTGTGCTGCCTGCCCTACTCTGCCCTCCCATGCTTTTCGTGAGTAATGGCATGTTATAGGCCCCGGGTCCACATTTTTGCCTCCTGCTTGTTCCAAATAACTCTTGGCTCAGGATTTCCACTGACCTCAGAGAAGGATGCTTCCTTTTTATAGCAATAGTGCAGTTGAAATGCATGCATTGCACCCAGGATATAGTCTACCCTCACTCTAACCATTGTGTGCAGACTTCAGATGTCACTTGGCCAATTATCTGTCACTACCGAACAGGTGAAAGACGTTAATTGGCACTACTTAATAGTAGTCTGACCAATTGGGACTGAGAAGGGAGTACGTGCTGACTTTTCTCAGAACTGTTGCTGGTTCTTTGGCTCCAAGCCCTTGAAATAAACACAAGTGGCAGAAAGCTTGCCAAGCCAGAAAGTGTAAAATGGGAAATGAATGCAACTGTGTTCTTGCTTTCAAGAGAGTCAGTGGCTGATTAATCAGAGCCAAGTTGCTTCTTTCAAATCCACAACTAGAGGGAGGCCTTCGCACATGTCTATTTCACTAGATCTGAGGTAGGGGACCGGTGCAAATCCCAGGAACGGTACCCTCCCTTCCCCAGGACCCTGCAGAATCCTTTTCACAGAGCCCAAGTTGTGGCAGGGAAGAGATGGAAACTAGTGTTCCATAATGAGGAATAGCCAAGATATAGATGGAGCCATCTATGGCTACCTGGAGTTTGTGCAGAAAAGAGAATACAAACAGGTACTGTGCTACCTGCTCAATTGAGCCGTTCCCCAGGATTCCCAGGTGTGGCCACACTCGGGGAGTGTCCTTATTAATGCAGGTGCCACAGTGTGGAGATGTGTGTGCGCACTACACAGATGGTTCTGGTTTCCCATTGGTGTATCCTTCGGCTGTGTTTCTCAGCCAGGTATTCCTGTACCCCTGGAGGTACACAGAGGTCTTCCATGAGATGTATCGTCATCTAGATATTTGCCTGGTTCAGTACAAACTAAAATTTTACACATGGTAAAAATTGGCCAGACCAATCAGCCTCCTGAAAGCGGTCCAGTAGTCTGGGGAATGGCTAGAATTAGTTGAAATACTATTACGTCTTTGCCATGACTTTTGTTTACCCCGAGGCCAATATTACTTTGATTTCCTTCTTTCTGTAGGTGGGATTACCCATGATACTTTCCAAAAAGAACTGATGTGCTTTGACCCCGACACGGACAAGTGGACTCAGAAGGCTCCGATGACGACAGTCAGAGGGCTGCACTGCATGTGTACTGTTGGAGACAAGCTTTATGTTATTGGTGGAAATCACTTCAGAGGCACGAGCGATTATGATGACGTTCTAAGCTGTGAATATTATTCGCCCACCCTAGACCAGTGGACTCCAATTGCTGCTATGTTGCGTGGGCAAAGTGATGTCGGGGTTGCTGTCTTCGAAAATAAAATCTATGTTGTTGGAGGGTACTCTTGGAATAATCGTTGTATGGTGGAAATAGTCCAGAAATATGACCCGGAAAAGGATGAGTGGCACAAGGTCTTTGACCTCCCAGAATCCCTTGGTGGCATCCGAGCCTGCACTCTTACAGTTTTCCCACCAGAAGATAACACAGGGTCACCTTCTAGAGAGTCACCTCTTTCAGCACCTTAAAAAAAAAAATCCTTTGACTTACGGTGTTGTGATAATACCTTTGCACTGCATCATGGAGTGTCTCATTTTTCTTCAGTAGCATCTGTTGGGCTTAGCCTACAGCAATTGGTACAGTTAATGAGAGAGGAGAAAAAAAAGACTTTGACTTTACTTGTGCTGTTTATTTGGCCTGGAATGTTTGTCGAATGGTTAACAAAGAATATGGAAAAATATACTCGAGCCAAATCTTTAACAAATGAGAATCAAGATCTTGTCTATAACAAATATGAATTAGGTACGTTTTAATGTTGTGTATCGGGTGTGAGGTACCTTACAACTTACATTAGGAAGCCCAGTCAGTCAAATTTGGAAGAGGTTGTAGTGAACATGTAATTGTGTTCACTAACCCTCATATTTGAAAGTCTTTCTTCCTTTCATCTTTGATTGCAGATTTTAAAGGGAGGCAGCCTACACCCACGTGGACTACATTGAAAGGTTGCCAAGCAGGCATGAGCTACCTCCCTGTTTTCACAGAGTATTTTTGACATATCTCTCTGCCTGCCCAGCTGGGTGGGCGGGTGCTTTAAGAGCATATGGAGTTTCTTAAGCATATAGGAGAAATCAAATAATGTAAAAAATATTGTACAAGAGGTGGACCCTGTGTTGGCCCAATGTTTTTTAATAACATATATTGATTTTTTTCCCCCCGCCTCAATGAAGTGACACTGTAAACAGAAGATTAAAATGTTTGAGTTTTTAATTTGCGGTCTCTTCTCCCTCTCCCCCTTCCAGGAATCTGCTTCCACTTCTAAGGGAGCATAAGCTATTAATAAAGGGGAATTCAGTACAGTTGTATGACCTGTTGTATGCCTGCACTGAGCTATATAGATAAGGGCTAGAAATATTAATTCAAGCCACTGAATTTGACCACGTTGTTCTTTCAGATCAAACTGAATCTGACCTTTCTCCTTTGCCGTTGAGAACGTACATATTCCATGTCCTCTGTATAGTCTCAGTTAATAAGGTTATTTAGCACAAAGTGCAGCTTCGGCAGGAGAGCTGCTTTTTGCTCAGTGAACTCAGACTACCATGTTTTACCTTCTTTTGTTCAATAAAACTTTAAACTGCAATTATTCAGCCTAAGATACCTCATTAATGTTGTTTGGATTTTCTGCCTCAGCCTCACCGTTACCAGGGCAACATGTTGTGTATATCTGTGTGGGTAGATTAATTTGCTAGGAAACCAATGCACAAATGGTCTCAGATGGGCACTTTGACCTACTTTCAAGGAACTGTTTTGGACATACTTGTCTATTGTAATTTTAAGGATGGAAAATATGGAAATGATGTCTGAACAATTGTGCATAGTGAGCTAATATTTAAATGTTCTGCAGTACAAATGATCTTTATTGGTTCTAACACAGTAATTTGCTTCTTAATGTTTTTTTAAAAGTTCTGGTTTTAAATCAAATGAAACTAAAATACAGGGCAGATAATCACAGATGTTAGTCACTTTTGATGATCTAAACCCAGTGTCCTCGTTACAGTGTTTCTTTCCATCGTAAAAAGCACAAGAATTTGTATTAATTGCTTTAGCAGATATCTGGAGATGGGTATTTACATTATTTAACTTATTTTATTATGGTATCTTATTTCCAGTTACAATATTAAGTTTTAGTAGCATGTTTTCCCACTAAAACAATATTGGGTTTCAACCTCATCTTCTAATGGCTAGTGTTTGTTTCTCTCTGATGGCATTTAATTGGAAGTGTCCTTCACTCATTATGCTAGAGACTTTTATCACAGGTTTAATATTTTAACGTTTTACTTTTAAAGAAGTGGTTCTTCCTAAAAATGTGTTTGAATTCTGCACTGGTATATGTTGAGTTACCAGAGATTATTCTGCATAGGAATGGAAGATTGAATACTCTTGCAAAATATTTGACCTATCCAAGATTAAATAAGCATAGATACAAGATATTTTTTGTTCCACTCATAGGAAAGAGAGGCGAAAATATTGCTGTCACTTATGTAGGTATTTAACATATTTAGTTTGAATGCCAACAACATATGATTGTATCATTTTTACTTTAGTTTGGACTATAAAGGTAATCCTCCTCCTAGAACGGGAGACAGAAAATCATATTGGATGATTCAAAAATAGGTTTGATCTCTGAATCCTTGGGCCACTTGTTGAGAGTTGGAACTTCGCCCTAATGCTCTGCATTCTGAAGATGCTCATGACAGAAAGACCCTCTTCAAAGCTTCAGGAAGACATCCTCCAAAGGAAGTCGAGCTGCTTTCCTGTCTGAGAACAGCTAGGTAACTAGAACACAGCAACTTTCAGCTTCTGCCTTTTTCATGACAAAGTTATACTCCTTAAATGCTTGTCTTGAATTTCTGCAGTAGTGCTGGGTGTCTGTAGAATAATGGATTAGACTTGTGTCTAAATGAAATGCTTCTCCTTTTGGATTCTTTTCCTGGTATTTTTAAGGCTAAACAATTCCACCACACGGTGCAATCTTTTCAGGTCTGTTCGCTAGGATTAAAAATAAATCTCAAAGATTCGATGAAGATGGCAAATAGTTTTTCTTTTGTGCTGCCGTGCTATTGAATAACCAGAGAATTGATTGCGTCTCTTTGCACGATAGCTGGCAAGAGCCTCAGTCTGTGACTCTACAAGGAATTATGGGAAGCTAGTTCCAGGAGAAGGCTGTCAATCCTCCACTTTCGAGGCCGCTTTCGAGGAGCGATTGTGAGCTGTCATGGTGTTCAGTGCTCACAGTACACAGGTGCTGCCCAACTCCTTTTATACCAAACGTTAAAGGTAACACCTTCCAGTTGTAGTACCAAAGTGAGAAGAGTAACTGAATGCAAAGCTGGCACGTACCCTGAGCAAGACGCATGGGATATTAAGGGGATAGCTGGAAGAGCAGTGGTAATCTCTGGAGATATTTAAGAACAGGTTAGATAGACATCTGTCAGGGATGGTGTAGACGGATCTTGATCCTGCCTTGAGGGCGGGGGGCTGGACTCGATGACCTCTCGAGGTCCCTTCCAGTCCTATTATTCTATGATTCGATGAATCTCTAACCCTCAAAAGCCAGAGGTCTGTCTTCCAGCCATTAAGGCAGTTTGTAATCTCACTGTCCAGCTGGACTGCCCTGTCTTGGTTCCCAAACAGCATTCCTAGCAGCTGTTACTTTTGTCCATTTACACCTGATCTGAAGAGTGTTGTGACTTTCTCTGATGCCACGTGTTTGACTTGCAGGCTTGACAATTCCAAAGCACTATACACAAGGAGGACAACAGCCTTACAGTAAATCCAGCTGTTTGAAATTGCTGCTCTCTTCCTACATAATAAGGCAACAGGATCAGTTCCCCTCAGTGTTCCTGTATTACAGGTGTTCCCTGTGGAATCCTGTACTGAAGTCGATATTCTGGCCCTAAGTCAGCTGCAAGTGTGCAACTTGGACTGCTGGAGACAGAATTTTCATTGGCTGATTCCCCCACCTAAACCCCACTCCCCTGTTGCTGGAGATTAGTGGCTCTGAATTGCTCGCTTTTCACAGGACAAAATGGAGGAATCTTGTCTTAGTCATAGCTTTCCTGCAGCAAAAATAGAAAATCTCCCATCTTGTCTGGGAAATGGAGGAGAGAACTCCAGTGTTTTGATTTGACTGGTGGGTGGGATGTTGCATTGTGGTAGTTCTGGCTCTGCTGGTCTAGACACTGTTCTCACTGTTCAATGGGATTGCATGGTGAACCTCACCCTAAGGTGAAGCAGTACAATACCCCATTGATGAGTGAGGTATAGATTCCTGGCCTACATTTGATAGGGATGGTCTTGTGTGGAGACCATCCAAGGCAGAAAGGTACTCCTGATCTTGGAGCATGTCATGAAATGGACAGACACTGTGTAAAAATACCCTGTGGTAGTTGATGCTAAAAGACTGAAGATAATGAAGTAGTTCCATGACTTCAAAAAGTTCAGTTGATTTTACTCCTCACTGTCTGTAATTTCTAGTAACCTATCTATAAGGAGTCCTGCATAGCTGTACCTGTTAACAGTTACTGGTGATCCTTTTGGTGCATTTCTCTTAGTTGAGATCAAGAGGAGTCTCTCCTGCTGCTGCTAGCGAGGAATGATGGCATTGAAATCTTTATAGGACCCAGCCTTTTGGTGTTCAGACCACGACACACACATTCATCAAATTCTTCTTCCCACCTTGTTCTAAATAGGCATCCCGTAGGCCACTGATGTCATCTTTGTTCAAGCCTGATTACTGACTTCATATGAGAAATGCTCTCTGCTTGGAGAGGTTAACCTGTATCCAAATTAGTCTGCTTTGTTTTCTGAGTTAAAACAGACCTAACCTAAATTCATCGTTCTCTTAATACTTTTCCATCTTCTGTTTCTGGAAGCTGCACCAAAATTTGTCAAGACTTGCGTAATGTGGGAAGGACTGAAGGGCAAAATGCACCACTACTGATAAGTAACATCTCACAGTTTTCATAAGAATAAACTTAGGATCAGATGCTTTAACTTTCCAATCACAACTTTCAGGACTTGGAAGTCAGCTGTGTAAAACAAGCGGTCTTGATTCAACATTGAGTATTCAAAATTGATATTTGCTGATCTTATTGCAGGAAAAATACCGAGTCTTAGAACTCCACTGGCTTGCACCTTGCTGAGTCAATCATACTTAAAGCATTCACTTGATGTATGCTCTCCCCTTTCCGGAGATGTCGCACCTCTGCAAGGATCAGGCCTGCTGTAGACAGTGCTTACGTTTGAAAGCACTTTACTGCATGTTTAATTAAGCACTGTAGTTAATTATAGTTTCTATTTGCTTATTTGATCTGAAAATGCAGGAGAATGATCGTTTCTTAAATGTAGCTGTGATCAGAAAACGTCTTGCGTAAAAATACAACATTTTTATTCATAAGGAAAAAATCGGGAGTGTATAGTTACCTTGGCGACAAAAATGCATTTCCTACTCATGTCTGTACCTAAGTTC